CCAAACGGCCTGACCGCGTAAAACGACAAGAACTACAACTGGTTCACTGGGAAGGTAGCTAGTTTACGCTGAGTTTAGCTAACTTTTACTAAGCTTAGCTTGCCTTTAGTGAACTCAGTTAGCTTTACTTAACTTTAACTTTCGCTAAACTGTGCTAGCTTGTCCTCGACTATGCTAGCTTGTCCTCGACTATGCTAGCTTGTCCTGGACTATGCTAGCTTGTCCTCGACTATGCTAGCTTGTCCTGGACTTAGCTCTTGCATCCCTTTGACGACTTCGAGAAACCAGAGCTCCGATCTCCTCCAGGAACTCCTCTGGGAATAAAAAATGAGGAAAGTTGGGTAGTAGGAAGACTGGTGGAAATCTGAAGTACGCAACTCAGATTAAAATCTAGTTTTATTCTACTGGTGTCAGAGGTGGTTTGGTTAGTGAGAACATGAAGATCAGCAAGAAAGTCCCTTTGCTTCATCCGGTGGATGTGTGCTTTTTCTCTAAAGTTGATGCGTACCACCACCACCGATTCTGTCTCAGAGTTGCTGACCCCAGTCCAACTGACCTGTAGTTTACAGACTGTTTGGGCACTGTCACTTGGATATGGCTATGAGCTGGTCGAACTGAGTCGGTTTTGGAGGACTGGGTGCAGGCTAAGTGGGAACCAGACAGGAAAAGGTCGGATGTTTGGCGAAATGCGGCGGAGAGACAACGTCGAACTGAAAGGTGGTGACCCTGAACAGGACTTCCAGAGGGACCAGGGGCGTGGCTTCTAAGGCCCTGGAGGCGGGGTTTAGTTTCCTAATATGGAGGGAAGCACTTTCATCAGAGGAGCCAGTGGGTGGAGCCTCTGGATTTGGGGTTATGGACGGAGGAGCGGCCGTGAGCGGACACAGCGTCCGGACTGAGCGAGGCGGAGAACGACGGCGATGGAAGCTACGCGGCGCCGTCTCTCTGCCGCCGACGGAGAGCGGAGGGGCGGGGCTTAGGACACGCGACGTCCGGGAAATAAAAGCAGCGAAAAAGGACAGACATCGAAGTGCTTGTCAACTTTGACGGGAATAAATATCTCAGTAGATTTATACATAGACATGCAAGTCATTTTTTCTCTCTTTGAAGTTATTTACAATAATTACAGAACACAAAGATTCCAGTTTCAGTTTGACAAAATTGCGAGCATTCAATATTCAATATTACTACTATTATTTATGATAACATAACTCCTTTTGTACTTCTTTAAATCATGGAATCGTGGTCACCTCCCTTTTTAAAAGTTTTTCTGTTTGATCACCGTGTGAAGCCGTTCACTCTCCTGGGTTTTTGCAAATGTTTTTCTGCATTTTATTTGCCTTTTATGGTTAGAATTATTACAACAACAACTATAATAATAATAATGTTATTTAAGTGTATTTCTTAATATGGCAGGGACTATGTGGGTGTGGTCTATCTATTTGACCCCTCCCCTAACTCCTCCCACTCAGGAAAAATAAACACTGATAGAAACCAAATACTGTCTCGCTTGATGAAGAGAGCAAAGAGACGTTTGGATCAAGCATAAAAAATCAGTTCAAAACAAGTCACAGCTTTTACTGCAACGAAAAAAATCAAAGTTTTCATGTAATCAGAGCAGGACGCGCAGCAGGCTTTGTTTCCGAAAATCGTCCCATGAAGACAAAAATCATCGCAGAGCAGGTTCTGGTCCGACAAATGAGGAGGTAAAAAGTAGGACTGACTCATGTTTACTTCAAGCAAAATGACGATAGCGGAGGAGCAACACGGCGGAGTGTTTGGCTAACAGAGTCGATCTTTGGAGCCTCTGCGCCGCGCCCGAACCCCTCAGGATGATCCACTTCCTACTCGCTCGCTTCCTGCTCTGACAGAAAAACGGCATCACGCCCACAGAAGCAGTAATGGCACGCGGCCATGTACACAGTCATACAGTATGTTGGTGTAAGATTTACATGAAAATATTTATATATTGTTGTTTATATATTAGTCGCTGCAGTCTTTCGTCACGCCGCGGACAACGCTCGCTGGCGGTTTGTGGAGCTGTGATATCTAAATGTTTTTATTTCAAACGTTCTCCTGGAAAACATCTGAATTATGCAAACATCTGGATGCACATCTGCAACAAACCGCATGTTTGCAAAGAGATTAGTTTTTATAAATCCATGTTTCTCCAAGGTGGGGCATCAGAAAGTTTTCTGCAACAATCCGAGGTCCGTTCCCGTTTGGTGAAAATCATTTATGAATTCACATCCTCTAAATGTTCTCCGGTGTTGACGGACCTCGGGTCATATTTCAGCCTGAAAGCAACAGAAAACTGGTCTTACTGTTAGATATCCTGGAATTAAGTTGAACTTTGACTTTAATTTCTATATTTTCCCACAAATTTACACATAAATGTGCATCATAATTAACAATAATCTATAATTTGAATAATTTTTCTCTTGCTCCCGCCGCAGCAGCACGTTGATCCGGAGGTGTGAAGACGACTGATTAACTTTACAGGAAAAACAAAATGACACCAAAACAACAAGAGCAGTTATTGAATAGAAGAAGAAAGCACCACCGTTGTCTCTGGTTATGATTATGTGCCATATTTTCCACTAATCAGACCACAAACTAGCATCTACAGGAGAAAAGGAACTGGAGGCAGACGTTGTTCAGGTTGGTCGGATCAGCTGATGCAGGGAAGGACCATCATGCAGTGAGGGCTGGTGGTGCGTGGGGGGGATCAGGGCAGGCTTTTCACTTTTATTTTTGCTTTTTTTAAATTGCTGTATCTGTTTGAGGAACGTCTAGGTGTAAACTTCACTTGCTTTGTGCTCTTCGATTCTAGCGGCGGACATTTTGAGAACACGAGTGGGAGGGAGAAGGCTTTGGTTTGAATCAAACAAACAGTGAACATCGCGTACATTTAGGGCTCTGATCCTCTTAGTCGCAATTTTTTAACAACTTGTGAAAACAGCTGCAACCCGGCGGACTGCAGTCTGACGCTTTGCACGTTGAGACAAACCCGTGCCGCCAACACACGCTCACAAACACGCCGTCTTCACCAAAGACGCAGGGAAACATGCTGCACACACACAACGATGGGTGGAGGAGCAGCCGGAGGTCAGCCTACAGGCCATTTCTCAGCAAACAAAGGGTGGAGGAAACAAGCCCAGCAGATAAAGGCGGGGTGAAATCCAGCAAGAAGTCCAGACGGACCTGAATGACCGAAGCTGACGGGAGTTTAGCCTTTCACATTTAAATAAAACAATTATGTTCCAACAAAACACGTCTAACAGAAATACTGAAACGCAGATCAATTAATAACAGGTAATAAGTTGTGGCTAGTAGCTAATGTGCTAATCAAACAGGTCCGATGAGTGGTAAAGTGCACGGTAAGGAGGGCGGGGTGGGGTACAAAAACACCTTCATGCAAACTCCACAACGCTTTGCATGCCTTTTTTATTATTAACGTTATAGTTATTACACACAGCAGGATGGAGGGGAAGGTCAGACTCCCAACGCGCGTCGCCATCTTTTTATACAACCAAACAACAACACAAGACAAGAGGGCCGGGAGGGCCGGACACTCGGGCGAACCGACCCTCTGAATCATTTTGGTGACGTCTTTGTGGTTTGATGTGTTTTCAGGGGCCTGATGGATGAAACAGGAACTTTACAGAAAATACAGACACAAAACACAACGTCATTGTCAACAAACTGGCTGGTGCTTTGACGGCATCCTGACACCGCTCATGTTCGTCCACCTCAACCACCACAGGACAACCATCCAATAGACCATGGCGCTGAGGGAAGAAAAGCGCAGCTAACTTTTAAAAAAATCTGATGCATGAGGTTACAATGAGATTTCAACTCGCTAAGTCATTAAATCCACTTCGGTTTACGTTTCTTTACCTGTTGGAAACCACTAAAAACCAACGACAACAGCTGAGAAAGGATCCAATCATCCTGAATCTACAGACGGACCGTTTGAGAGATTTGTTGGATTTTGCTGCTGGGAGAAGAGGGTGACACTTTGGTTAACACAACAGTTTTGGTTTATTGAAGCCAAAGAATAAATTAAGTAGACCCCAATCTTCTCCAAACCTGAAACTAGAACATCAAGGGCATCACAGACATCTAAAGCTAACGATGCTAACTTCTACATCTCAAGAAAAAACACATTTTCCACTAAACAACGACTACTTCCTGGACTCTGAACTGAAGCTTATTGCTCTGGCAGGGAGTGTGGAGGGATCTGAAGGTGGTTTTTCCTCCAGCGCAGGCCTCAACAGAAGTACGATGACCTCCGTATCACAGAGCCTGAGCGCATTCCTCCAGAACCTCAGACCCAACCAGCGTCCTGGCAAATCACGAACACCTCACCAAACCTTTCCGAACAGACACAGCAACGTTTCAGACTGAGTATTATTAAAAGCTCAGTCTGAACCGACTCCCAGCGACTCAGATGCTTTATTAATGGAAGAATCCCTCAGAGTTTGGATAATCTGAGCAAATTTGTCAATATTTTTAAAACATATGCAGGTAAAGATTTCCATGAGCTGCCGTGAGACTGCATCACTCTGTAAAACCAACAATTTGTTCGGCCATTTTCAGCTTTTCATCCAGTACTGCTACCTTTCCAATAAACCCCAGATTTCAAACACAGTGAAACGTTCCTACAGCATTTATGTTCTTGGTATTGTAAAACGTGGGGATTTGTCCCAGTGAGTTCAACACTGCTAACTCTAATAGCTAGCTGAAATTAGCTAGTGGTTCCACATAGTTAGCATTCTAGTTTGCATGCTTTGGGCAATGGGTAGGTTGCTACTGCAAACACAGCATAAAAACCTGTTTAAACTCACATTTTACTGCAGGTATTATTTAATTATTAGCTAAAATTTCTTGACTAGAATTATCCTCCAGGTTAACAATGATTCGCTTCCAAATTAATTTGGTTCACAATTACAGACTAATAACGTACAAAATACTACAGATAAATACTTTTTGTGTTGTAAAATCAAATGTTTTTACAGATATCTTTCCTTTAAGTTAGAATTAGCCAATGATTTTGGAGAATTGTCTATTTTTTTTTTTTAGCTAAAATCTATGATTAGCTAAAATGGTCCTCCAGTTTAACAAGGATTAGCTTCCAAATTAGCATAATGTGGTTCACAGGCTAACAGTCAAATAAATACTTTTCATTCTGTATAATTAAATATCTTTACAGGGAGCTTCCCCCAAAATTAGAATTAGTTTATTAACAATAATTAGCTTCCAGATTGGATCGTTTTGGTGCAGCTAGAATTAGCTTCCGAAATATCAAGGATCAGCTTAGCTAGAAATAGCCTTCAATAATTTAAAAAGTAATTTTCTTGCTATATTGTTACGAGCCACAAACCCTTTGTATTTTCTGAATCTTTTCCACCATACTAGGTCGGACACCACGAATGCCTTTCACGGTTTTTAGAAAAAGTATCTAGAAAACGGATGATAAATCTTCAATAAGCTTCTGCACAACCTACACAAACACAAGCAAATTCTACACCATGCAAAGCGGCTCAGACTAACCCTAACACTGGCAGTAACACAACATTCATGGGGTCTGTCTACGTCAGAAGTTAAAACATATATGACATGTTCATGTTGTGAATTAATGTGTGTCACGTTGATCCACCTTCCAGGGAAATGCACCATAGAGAATGTGAATTGGCCGTAGAAGCTGCCGTACTCCTAGTCCAGGTCGTTGGAACATCGTGTCTCGGCATGCAGAGAGGAGTGAGGCTCCTTTCACATTATCTACAGGAATGCCTTCATGTGTGGCAACCGAAACATCACAGCTTCTCCAACACAAACACACCGGAGACACGTCGGATCGCACAAACTCAACGTTAACACAATGTTAAGCAGATACAGCACAGGATACGTCACGCACACACCGGAACAGCAGCACGACAAAAGCAACAAACGCTCGCCATCGAAACACAAACGGCCACAGGACCATCGCCACACCAGGGTAACTGGTTTCGCCTGTTTGTTGGTTTTGATGCGTTTCCGTTATTTTTTGTTGACTCCTTGAGCAGCTTGAGGATGACGGCCCTGGCTTTTAACAGATTCTCATTGGCTATCTCTGTGTTGGTAGGCGGGACAAGTCGTCTTTCTTGTATCTAAACTGCATAGATTAACTGTCCATCTCCACCCAGCCCTCAGGTATCACCTTGTCGCCTACGCTGGCCAATCAGAATAACCAGGACGGTCAGAGGCCCTCCCTCCCCAACTCTTTGGTTGGATCGATGCAACAGTCAGGGGAGTCTGACCTCCCCCTTGTCAACGCGGTGTTTTCCCAACCGCAGCCGGCTGTGAAAGCATCTGCTCTCAGGGTCCAGTCAGTCTCCGGTAACAGGCTGGCCGAGGTGAATGACGGGCAAAGCAGCCAATGAGAGGTGGACTAGCTGACGGCGAGGCACAACATTAACATCGTTCCCCAACCTTCGGGTTTTCTACATCTATGCATTAGCTGTTTGTTTTCTGAAATGAACGTGAGGAACCCGAATGACAGATTTGTCCCACAGGACTCCCACCCAGCAGCCGTCACTGTCCTCGGAGACTCCCGAAAAAAACAAACAAGGAACTTCAAAACATAGGAAAACAGCCAAACAAACAACAAAGTAAAAGTTATATTAGAGGTTATCACTTTTTACAGGTAGCTAACCCATGTGTTGTTCAATACATTTACATAAATAGGTTTATTTTCCCTCTCTTGTTGTGTGGATAAGTCACCTATCATGTGGTGTTACTGTGTTTTCTTCTTAGCTTTTTGTACCCCGCCCAAACCCGTGGTGTTTCCTCTTATTTGTGATTGGATTATCTCTTCCTAGCTGATTGGTTGTCGGTCTTGCATTTGTGTTTCAAGTTTTTTGTGTTGTCGTTGCTGTTTCTTTTCTCTGCTGGCTGTCGGTCAGTCGGTCGGCATCAGTCATCATGGCAGCAGGTGGAGGAACGTCTTAGAAGCCCAGCGTCCCGCCGATGGTCGACGCCAGGACCACGCCGAGGATGACGCAGCAGATGATGATCATGATCTTCTTCTGCAGGGCGACAGTAGGAAGCAAACGCATGAATGATGAGGGAAAACATTTGGAACCACTTTCTCATTTGACTTTTCCTGTTGTTTAAAACGTTTAGTGTCGTCTTTTGTTAGAAATCTTAGGCTGAATTCCCTCCAGCTCTGTTCAGTCCAATTTAATCCGACTCCAGGCCGTTTGCCCAGAAAGGGCGGTTCATTTGAGGAGGCGTGAATTCGTAATTGAACAAAAAATTTAACTGGTCTGGATTCGGTTGAAGGGACCGTCAAAAGCAGCACAGGGCATTCTGGGTAAATGCAACTGAAACAAACATGCTAGGCTCGCACGTTTTAAGAGCCGTTCCAACGACTGAGACGTCCTTAAGATTTACGGAAAGGGAAATTTGGACAAAAATTGTATAAAAATCTTTCTGTGAGTTTGAACCCCCGGTTTCTGTCTCCATTAACGCGACGTGTCGATGCAGGACGGCGCGTGCTGTTGTTTTGACTGGTTGTGCAAATTTTCGTTTATTAAAATGATTTTCTCACCAAATAGTGAGCGAAGCAGAACAGAGTCTGAAAGCAAGCTAGCATAGTTAAATACTGGAATGTTAAAGATTGAAGCAAAAACAGCTAAAAACAGCACTTTGTTCAAACTGAATAGTTAGTCGTCTGATAGGAATGCAATTCCTCTGCAGCTAAAATCCCATTCTGGACATTAAATTCCTTTAAGACACTGAAAGACCGACAGGAAGGTTTGAGTTCCTGAAGGGAGGCAGCTGCACGAGTTTCTGGAGTTTGCAGTTGGAATCCAGTCATTTGTTAGTTGAAGAGGCAACACTGTATTTGGAAGGGAGAGCATAAGACTGACTCCACACTGTCATGGACATGAAGGAGTCTTCATAGATGTTAACCACTGTTGCCAAAAAGTGTCTTACGCTAAATGGAGGAATAGCTCCATGGACATTTTTTGGATTCCGATTGGACAAATTGGTGGCTTTTAGCATTTTTGCTAGCCTTCTGTTAGCAGTTTGAAAAGGAGCCTCCTGGATGGACGGTGGGGTCCGGAGCAGAGTTTCATCAGGGGAAGCTAGAGCCTTACCTTGCGAGCCTGGCTCTGGTATTTTACGGCCTTCTTGGTGTCGGAGACGGCTCGCTCCACGTAGTCGACGGAGTGTTCTACGTTGTACTCAATTCTGTCAATCATTTCTCCCTAAAACAAACATCTGAATTTAAACGACACCAAGCAACTCCTCTATGGGATCAGGTAGCTTTCCAACACTTGTGGCCTACCTGGCTCTCGACCAGCATGGCCATGTCGACAAACATGTCGTGGAGCTCACGGATGCTGTTTTCCAGCTTGATGATCTCGGTGTGTCGGGTCTCGATCTCGTTCAGGGCCTGCTTGGTCATCTGAGAGTCCATTTTGATCTGCAGAACAAGTTTACAGAAGCATATTCTGTCTTCTCTGCCCCGTCACAGAACGTAAAAAAAAACAAAGTCTACAGAAGTAACTTTAGAAAAGAGGATAAAATCTAAAATTTGGTAAATTATTAGATAATAATAAATTAATAAATAGTAAATTATTAGAACATTTTTCCGCAGTTTAAATCTGCTCATCTCAAAGAAAAGAAAAAACTCAACATCTACAATATTTATCGACTTAAATTTTATATAATCAACATACAGTTAAAAATGAGTTACTGGCTTCTAAGTTAGCTAGTTGGATAAGTTTATCTGTATGGACCAGTTGTACACAAAGTAAAAAAAATAAAGAAAAAGGGAAATTAGACACGTTAGCATCCAGATTACCTTCAAATTAGCAATTTGGCTAATTGCTAATTAGCCAAACAAACCGCAAATCCAGAAATCCATTTGCTGAAATTATTTTGCTGAAATTATTTTGTAATTGGTGACAATAGACATATTCTATTAAATTGTGGGATTAGCTAAAACTAGCTTCTTAAAGGGGTGAAATTAGCATACGGTTCGCTACAATTAGCTTCAAAATAAGTAAAAATTGTTTTATGATATAAGATGAGAAATAATTTATGGATGCGTTATCTGTCAGTTTAGCTGAAGTTGGACTCTGAATCAGCTATAATTAGCCTAAGTTAGATTACAGCTAATTGTGCTAGCTGCAGTTAGCTTTCAGAGTAGCAGGGATTATTACACTGTTAGCTGGAGTTGACTTCCTGATTAGCCTTATTTAATGCTTGGTTAGCATTAGCATTTTAAATTAGACGTAGTTAAATTAAGCTAATGCTTCCACCTACATTTTTCTGTCTCTGTGATTTTACTATTAACATCAATTCAAATGTTTATCTGTTTCTGTATTAGTTTTGTCTTGTTTTTTTCAGCATTGTGTACAAGTCATTTAAATTTCTCTTGAAAATTAGATCTGGATCTCAACGGGGTTTACCTGGTTAAATAAAGGGGAAAAAAGGATTGTTTCTATTTTCTGGTCATAATATGGTTAGTTGGTAAAGAAACGTTTTGTTTTCTATCTTCGCCTGTGAAATGAAAGTCACAGGTTCCAGTTTTAGTTGCTTTCTGAATGATTTATTGTTGTTTGTCGTCTCTTTTGGTTCTTTGGCAGTTGGACGGACTTACCTGTTCAGACTAACTCCACACCTGCTGTAAACCTGAACCTTACTGACCTGTGCTGATTGGTCACCACACTGTGACATCACAATACAAGTGGCTTCAATCAGAGTAGCTCAGCTGTCATTTGCAGCCAGGTGTTTTGTTAAATCCCTGCAGTCATGGCCGCTTTTAATTTGAAGAAGAAAACAATATGAACTCCTTCAGAATAAAAGCAGTGGCGGCTTTTCTTCAGCTTTCCTTCCCATGTCCAGAAGCAAAGGCTGCCTTCACTTGATGTTTCAGCGCACCTTGTGGCCGTTCTGCATCCTGACCACATGATGATGCGTACAGGAAGCAGAAGGCTCCACCTTAAAGTGACCGCAGGTGCGGTGCTTACATCATCGGTGAAGATGGCCAGTTTGCCACTCTCCAACATGTCCTCCAGCTCTTCGTTGGTGGTGGTTCTTCCAGCTGCAGACAGAGCAGAAACAATGAGATTATTCACAGGAGATCGCCATGGCAACCTGTCACATCACTCAGCATCTTCTTATTTGCCGTTTCGATCCGTTGGGGTCCAACCAACAGAAGGAGTATGATTTATGATGCAGGATTTCACCAAACGGCAACCAGCTTAGAGATAAAATGTTTCTGTGTTTCTGTTCTGACCGACCTCAGGTCACAGGAGCAAGTTCAGGAAGTGAAGTCGAAATATCACGAGAATTACTCAAAAATAATTGGAGAATAAAATCAAAATATTATCAAAATAAAGTTGTAATGACACAAGAATAAAGTCGTAATATTACAACTTTTAGGTTGCTTGCAGTTCACACAGGAGATCACACAAATGCTGCATATGTTTAGAAGTGTGAACGACAACGCAAAAAAAAAAAAAAAAGGTGGATTTCACAAGAAATCGTAACCGAGCATCGAGGCCTGCAGTGTGAACGCAGGCTTTGATTTAAAATATCCACTGATCGCCACCAAACTGGAAGACATTTCTCCTGATTTAAACCACAGAAGTTTCCAGCCTTTTTCCTCCACCTGCTGCCGATCCCAAGACAGCTCTGCACCGGCGGTAACGTAACGCTGTCCTCGGCCATCTTGAACCGCCGAAAGCTCGTTCTTTGCAGCGAAAACTGAAGTTCTGGACGGTTCCTTCAGCAGCGTAAATAAAGTCAGCTTATTTCTGAAGCGCCATTTCATAACAAGTGCCATCTCAAGGCACTTTGCAAAAAAAATCATTTAAATTCATTCACACATCCATTTCAACTGATCCTACTTCTTACACAGTACAGTATAATTAATTATTCAGAAGTTTCTATCTAAGGAATCCCAGCAGAACATCGAGTATGAATGTAGCGACAGTGGAGAGAAAAAACATTTAACAGCAAAAAATCTCCAGCAGAACTTGTTTCAATATCTGGAGTTTCTGTCTGGTTTGTTGGTTTGGTATTGTTTGTGTTTACCATCCGCCATGTTGGGTGTTGAACTCACTGATCTCCAGCTGCCTCTGGATGCGGTCCTTGCAGCGGTCCCGGTACTTGGACTGCGTGGTGTTGTACTCGGTCATCACCTCCACAAATTTACGCGACAGCGTCGAGTGCTGGAGAAACACAAGGAGGAAAACTGGTTGAATGTGGATGAACTGGTTTAACTGGGAAGGCCTGTGAACCAGAGCTGGAACTCCATGATCTACATCCAGACACTCGGAACTTATTTTTGTTGAACCGATCATTTGGAGATTCCTCAATGGCTCTTAACTTTGGTTAAACATGATTAATAAAATAAAACAGCATATTAGAGATACTGTAGATGGAAAAAAGGCAGTAAATATGCTTTCAAAAACTCAAAATTTTTTATTAAAAACTTGAAAAATTCTTCTTTTGTGTGTGAAAATTTCAGACTAATCTCCAAATTGTTGAAATATACAGCGATCCCTCGATTTTCTTAGGGGCTGCGTTCCGCAAATAACCCGCGATAAGTGAAATCCGTGAAGTAGTTACCTTAAGTTTTTTACCATTATTACACAGCATAATTAAATACTCTACATTGAAACCAAAGAACAAAACCTGTTTTCAGGTCAGCGGATGTGCGTGTTCATCAATCGGGCCTTAATGTGATCCGGAGTCGTGGCATTAAAGCGTCTCCTCCAAGCTGCCCCTCGAGATTCACAGCTGGATCTGCTGCAGAGCCTCCGGCTACAGTTTTTTTCAGCAGGCATTCAAAGTTTCAGTTTCCATCTTCTGAATGGCCAATCTGTATTATGTACATTTTAGCCAATCAGGACGCAGAACACAAAGCACTGTGAAAAAAACTGTACAAAAAAAAATATCCGCGAAGCAGCGAGACCGCGAAAGGTGAACCACATTACAGCGAGGGATCACTGTACTCCTTTCTTCCATTTGCAACGGCCCCAATATGCTGATCCTGCTATTGTTGGTGCCTGCAGTTCCCTTCTTGTCCACTGGGCAGCAGCAGACATGACGGCTGCAGCCAATTGCCGAGCGAGAGAGCATGAGGAAGTGACATTCAGAAGGAACTTTGAGCAGGAATGAATTAAAAAGCTAAAAAATAGTGATAAAGCTCCTCTGTGTGTGTGAGGGTTAGGGTGAGAGGTGTCGTCTGGCTGTAACATGCGTGTCAGTTTGAACACATTTAATCAGCAGCAGTCACATGACAAACAAGGACTTCTGCTCTTCGGATTAAACTTTTATCGTTTGCTGACAGACTTTGTAAGCTTGACCCGTTCTGGAGAGGTCAACTGTCTGGTTCTGCTACATGACGGGTTTGAATGTGAGAAGGCGCTATCCAGACCACGACCGGCTCTGGACCCGACCCACCTGTGTCTTACGGATCCGGAGGTCCGCTGATGATCTGTTGAGACCTTCCTCCTGCTCGATGCTCTGCTCAATTGCTGCAGGAACACAAACATGCAGACAATGTTATAAAGTAAACTGTTTAATTCTGTTTTTCTGCTCCACAGGGTGGTTAGGTTCTGACCCGTCTGCAGGTCATTTGTTATCATCCACCATCAACTCGTCTTCATGCACGAGCTCCTCAAACCAAGACAAACCCTGGGTACAACCGAATCATCACAGATTTCTCTACTACGGTGAGTGAGTCTGTAGTGATTGGAGCATAAAGTAAAAACCTTTCAGGATAAAAATCACAACAAACACTTCAACAAACAAAATAACAAACACAAAATAAAGCAAAACCAGATTTAAAAAGATGTGCTTTTTCCTTAAACCTTCACTGGTTCATCAGTCTAAGATGACGACCCAAAGCATCCCGCGACCTAAAGCAAAACAGAGAAGGATTAAAGACAACAAGGTGGAGGTTCTGGAGTGGCCTATTCAAAGCCCAGACCTGTTCACAGCTGATCCTCTCGAATCTGACAGAGCTGGAGCAGGTTAACAGGAAGACTGGAGGAAAATGCAGCATGTGTAAAAAGATTGTTCAGTTTCAACTTGAAGTGAAGGAACTGAAATGTGCTCCATCCTCACCACTGCTGCAGCTGCAGCGCTTATTTACCCAGGAGAGCTAGCTTAATTACATCTTCTCACCGAGGATCTCTGTGATCACTGCAGCTTCTAAAGAAACCATCCAGGAGGAAAAGCCTGAACCACATTTGACCAGCGAGGCTCTCAGTGAGGTTAACAAGAACAGATTTAAATCTATAACAAGGAAATTAATCTGAAAAGACAATTTACTGAGCCTTTAAATGGTTTCATGCAATATGCTAATGAGGAGAACATTAGAGAAGAAATTTAACAACTTCTTTGATCATTACTTTATTCCACCAGTGGTGGGCACAGGTAACAAAAAAAGTTAGCTGCGCTAGTCCTAAACGCTAATCACAAACATTAGTTCTGCTATCGCTAACACACTACACCAGGGGAGCCCAAAGTGGGTCCTGGGGGCCCGGCATCCTGCATGTTTTAGTTCTAAAATCCATCCATCCATTTTCTAACACCCTTGTCCCTTCGTGGGGTCGGGAGGTGCTGGCGCCTCCAGCTAACGTTCCTGGCGAGAGGCGGGGTCACTCTGGATGGACCAACAAATCTGGCCAAGGAATATTATTATTCTTGAATCTCCTGTTGCTTATGAGTCTAACATAATTTAAGGAAATAAAGTACATAACTCTAAATCTGGTCATTCTATACAATTATTCTTTAGTTGAGAATCGATTTTATAATAAGCAAATGGCAAATAAGTATATTTTAGTTGATTATCGTTTCACTGAGGACAGAAATCAGAGGGGGATATCTCCAATTTAACTGATTTTATTTAAGCAAATCTTCCTAAGTAAATAAGTAAATTTTGTCTTAACATTTCCACAAATGACTAGATCTTAGATGGGCTGTGGCGTCATTAAGTATGCATTGTCCCAATTGGAAAACTACTGTACTGCGTCCTTTTATCCTCCAGGAAATTGCGCTATAATCACTGCATTATCAACTGTGGTTCAACTGATACAAAAAATATATATAAATATAGGTACAGTTGTGAATTTTCAGTGCCTAACAAGTGCAGACATGAAAAAATATTCATTTAAATATCCAAGACCATAAGTCTTAATTGACTCTCATTAAAATGTGACTATTGTGTCACCTGGAAGGGGGCAAAGAGTTGAGACAGAAAGAAATTACTGTCGCCACTTTACAGAATATCTGAGTTGATAAATATCTCATAAGTTGTTAGAGTGTGTGTGTGTGTGTGTGTGTGTGTGTGTGTGTGTGTGTGTTCTTGTCTCGCTGCATTTTGGGGTCGGTGCATCAGTTTACCTGCACTGTGGGGACAAACGGTCTCAGGAGTTTCCTTAAATATCATTACCTGTGTGCAGAAATGTTCAGTGTTCAGCAGTGAGGGGTGGTGGGAGTCAATGTCATGTCCTGATATTTTCCTCAAAGGATTGTTTGTGTGCGTTTTCTGGCCCGTGGCCTGGCAGCGCCCTGCTGGATCCACGATGACTCAGCAGTATCACACCACCAATGGTCTGCGTGTGTGTGTGTGTGTGTGCGCGCACTGTATTCCTGGGTGTTGTCTTTCTGTATGACAGTGAGATGAAAACTGGGTGAGTAAGCAACAGATTGAGTCCTCCTGTATTTTTGAGGACGTTTAGCCCATTTAGCTGAAAAAAACTGATGTATGCTTATTTGTTCTTATGCAAGAGTCTCTCCCAAATTATAAGAACTCAGCAGAACTGCAGTGAAACTATAAAAAAAAACAACCTACAATTTAGACTGTATTGTTGTGGGAAACTGAAAAATACATCAAATTACAAGTATCACTTCAACATTAGTGATTAAAACAGTCGTGGTAAAAAAGAAAATTCAATGTCTTTCATGTGCAGGGTAAAAATTAAATGCATCTAAAAACTTGTAAATGTTGCAAGTATACAAAAAGACAATAGAGTTTATATGGTAATTATTTAATTAGACAATGATGAAGCTTAAAGTCTGTCCTCACTGTTTTCCTGGGACTTGAGAGTGAAAGTGGCAGCCAAGAGCTGCAGATCAAATGCATTGAATAAGTGATCATCTTCAGTGTGATCACCTCTATAAAAGGAAGAGTTCTGGCAGCAAACAACGCCAAACTGGGCAGGCATCAGCAAGGAGCAAATGTGGCTGCTCATCAATCTGGAAGAGTTATGAAGCCATTTCTAGTCATCTGAAGTCTGTCGTCGAACACAGAGAAAGATTATTCACAAGCTGAAAACATTTAAAGAGTTGCCAATCAATTTGCTGCAAAGTATTTCTCGTCCACTTCACTCTGACCTAAACACTTCTTGAAGAATAAGAGACAAATAAAGAAATGGACAAGCCAGTGAACTTGCTAAAGGAAATTTTACAATGTAGTGTTAAAAATTATTTTTCTTGTTGCACTTAAATATTTCAGATTATGAAGTGGCTTTTAATTATGAATTATAATTTTAAAAAGCTTAACGAAACAACCTGGCCCTGTGTGAAAGAATAATTTTCCTTAAATCTGATACTTTGTGATAACTGGAGTCTTTTACATGCCTGAGGTTGAACTTTGACCCACTCTTGTTTGCCGGATTGTTTTAATTACAGGCGGAACTCAAAAACTTTAGTTGTTGCTAAATGATTATAATTTATATATATATATTAGTTAATAATAGACATGTTGGCTCATTAACAAAGACAGATATTAATTTTAACTGAAGCACAGTACAAAATAAATCTGATTAGTTGAGTTAAACCTTTTAACAAGTTAACATGTGTGTAACAAATTAATCTGAATTATGACCTTTTAATTTTGCAGCATTGCATGTTTTTAGTGTGAAATGTTTAAACTCACAATGTTACGCCAAGATGTGTAAAGTTAGACTTTGATCATGTGGTGCATAAAATTATAAATTCATATAACAATCAAATCTGAGCTCAGTTATGCTGACATTTTCTAAAACAATTTAATTCATGAAACACTTAATTTGCAATTTTAAAAATTTTAATTCTTAGTTTCTTTAAACTTTTCTTAAATGTGTTTGGTTTCTCTCTCATAAGTGCAATTTTATAGATCAGGTGTTGCTTAATCAGCAGACTGGACTTGGATGTAATTGTGCAGTTAGACATAAAAACATAGAATTAAGTAATTATGAGGTTTTTCCATCAGTTAATGTTTGGCCACCCAGTGAGGAAAGGTCATATCGATCGCTGTAGTTCCCCATCTTTCTAAGGTGCCATTATTTTGGGTTTTAGTATCAAGATACATGTTTTTATTAAAAATGTATCCGTCACTAGTTGGGATGTTTGACTTTGTCGTGAAATCAGATATTGACCTTTGAACGTGAAGGTATAGAATCACTAGCTTTGTTTCCATTAACCACAATATTCCCCCAAATAAAAATTACGAAAATAAATTTGCTAAATGGAAAAAACAAATTTCGGAAAAACTCAGGTTTTCTAATAAAATTTTTTGCTCTATGATGAGGTGGCTTTTCAGCCATATCAAAATAAAAGTATTTCATGAAAATAAAACAGAAACACTTTTTTTGCATCATACGAGTCACGTGATCAACAACAGGATGTTACCACTGCCGAAAACCACAAAGAAGATGACAGGAAGTAGAAGGATGTGAATGGTTTTTGTTTCTCCACCAGAGCTTTCACAGCATCACACAGTTCATAAAACGTTGTGTGTCATTCCAACGTATCGCCTGTAAAATGGCTGACTACAATTTCCCCAAAATGCTGCATACGTAGCTGCACCCCAGTAGGATGCGCTTACCGCTCCAGCACCTGAATGAGGCGCCAGCGTTTCCTCTGATTAGCTGATAGATGAGTGTTGAATTATGAATATATGTCGTAACTATTTACACTCGTTGCTGCCATGATGTTTAATGACTTATTGCATTAACAAGCTTAATCACATGTGATTTTAATGTTTCTTATTTAATGCACAATTGCAAAATTGTGTTTGTTCGACATTAGTGGAATATTGACAAAGATTTGCACACATTTGTAATGAGAATGCAGTTTATGTTTAATTTGTCAGTAAAAAGTTCATTGTGTCCGTTGTAAAAACCTTGCAGCTTCACAGCCAGCTGGACAGACATGCTGATGATCCCTGCAGGCGGAGCAGAGAGTGCTGCGCCTGTCCTCAGGGTTCAGATCTACTGTAAGAGGTGCTGCAGAGATCCTGTCTGTGTGGGGACAATAACACTCTGCTGCCTCATGGGGATTCCAATTATAGCTTCATCGCAGCTATTCTCAGTCTGCATATGTACAGTGTGTGTGTGTGTGTGTGTGTGTGGTGGGTAGTCCATCTTCTGGCTGTGCACATTAAAGCAGGGATGTCCTTGAACCTTCAGCATGAACCGGTGCTGCAGCAGCAGCCGCTCTCTGTGCTTCTGTGGCTTTAAGCTCGTTGGCTTGTCTTCCTCTCTCT